TCCACAGGATTTCCAGTTTTCTTTTTTGAACTTAAAACACTAACACAGAAACCTGAAGGTGCTTATAGGGAGTGTGGATATAATTTTAACACTCATATTTAAAAAACACTCATTTAAAAAACAGAGTTGTGTGAGTCAGTACAAATACTAACAGAAGGTTTTCATACAGATTAGAAAACACTGGAAGGCAAGTAAACAGCAGCATTTTCCAGTCTGTCTGCTTATACTGAGATCACTTTAGTTGCTGTTTTCTTCACAACATTCATCAGGGTGTTTGAGACTTGCAGGACACAGACCAGGTTTTTTAGTTAATAGAGAACATGAATACGACTGATCTTACAGGTAGATCAAAGACAGGGCCTAAGGTAGATTAGGGCCCAGGGTAGAGTGAAACTGAAATGTACAAGTATTTCATGGTTTGCTTTGGCAAATGAAGTTTAGATTAAATCAGTACTGTAAATTAAAAGTTATTTCTTTCTTAATCCATGAACATTTTTATTGCTATATAAAATGAGAATAGTGGAATTTGAACGTATATCTCCTTTCTTCTTTCTCTAAACTCCTTCAAAAGCCAGGAACTCTTTATCACCTGGCCATATACTTAGAGCTTTAGCCAAGTGTCCGAGGGAATGAGCTTGGCGGTCTATGTCCTGTAGTCACAGCCCACGTTCTTTGTTCCAAAAAATGCCTTGTTTTCATGTACAACAACCATTCAAAAGAGATTTGAATAGAGGTTATGGAAGAGACTGATAAGGTTACTTGCCAGCAGAAGCAAGAAATGCACATTTTGACCTGAGATCCATGATGGAAAGCAGATTGTATACGTTTATTCCTGTGACCTCTGTAATAGGACTTCCCTGGTTGCAAACAAATGTATGCATTAAAGCACACAATTTGGTATATTATCTGTGTGCAAATGCAGTTCAACCTAGCACAGCCTCGTAGTTCCACAATACAACTGGAAATACAGTAGTGATTTTCTGTTTATTTTATTGCATTCATTCTCTTTTCTTTTTCCTTTTTCTCTTGCAATTTTCAGAATTCAGCTATCAAATTGAAAATCCATCTATAGTAGCTTCAGTGATTACAAACTAAAATGTGGGTTATTCCACAATGTTTTTTCAAACAAGGCTTCTATTGCTTATGTTGTAGGTCTTACATAATCTTTAATAATTATAAAACAATATATAACTGGACTGCTTAGAAAATGTAGAACTATTAACATGGGAAATGAAGAATTTTCTTGCCTTAAGCTACCTTCAGTGAATGGATGTACCACATTTTTCTTAGAAAAAGGTTTACAAATATTCGCTATGCCGAAACATACTGCCCTGTATTTATATTGTTTATCAATGCCAAGTTTAGGGGTGCCGTGTTCTGTCTCACATTCCTTATGTACCGTCTGTATTTGTGTCCATATGAATTAAACTTTATGGCACTACTTTTTCACACTATAGTAGCCAATGAATAACCAAAAGTGAATTTAAAACTCACTTTTGAGGCTTGATTTTAGTGAATCTTGTATATTTACTCTTCATTTTTTTAAGTATAAAATATTTCTTTTTAAGTCTTTCATTTGGTTTTCTAGTCTTTCATTTAGTCATTTCTGGGAGTTACTCCAAAAGCAAGATGCAACAGGCATATCACTTTCAATAAAAATAAGATTTCCTGAAATTTTAAAAATGCTTAAAAGTACCTCAGCTAAGGCAATTCTTTATTGCCTATAATGCCTTTTACCTGATTTTATTAGTCATTTTAGTTTTTTAAAAGACATGTTTTTGTCGCGTAATTGTATAGAAGGATCTTTCCATTGCCATAGCGATATCTTGGTTGCAGTGTTTGAACTGGAGCTATCTTTTTATTAAATTTATCATTTGCCTCTAGGAATATTGCTACCTTTTTTTTGAGACGGAGTCTTGCTCTGTTGCCAGGCCTGGAGTGCAGTGGTGCCATCTTAGCTCACTGCAACTTCTGACTCCCTGGTTCAAGTAATTCTCCTGCCTCAGCCTCCCAAGTAGCTGGGATTACAGGCATGCACCACCATACCCAGCTATTTTGTTTTGTTTCGTTTTGAGATGGAGTTTTGCTCTTGTTGCCCAGGTTAGAGTACAATGGTGCTGTCTCTGCTCACTGCAACCTCTGCCTCCCAGGTTCAAGCTGTTCTCCTGCCTCAGCCTCCTGAGTAGCTGGGATTACAGGCAGGTACCACCATGCCTGGCTAATTTTGTATTTTGAGTAGAGACGGGGTTTCTCCGTGTTCATCAGGCTGGTCTTGAACTCCCGACCTCAGGTGATCCACCCGCCTTGGCCTTCCTAAGTGCTGGGATTATAGGAATAAGCCACCATACCCAGCCTGCTACCCTTTTAATACAAGGGACTCTTGAAGCAGTTCCTAGTATAGTTACCCAAAAACACTTTTGTAGGGCCTAATAATACAAATATTTGTATTACGAACATTCTTCTGAATGTACCCCCCCAAGACTAGTCCTGTATTTAACTGCATCACTCACCCCCTGATTGAATTTCACCTCATTTGAGTCTGGACACCTTCTGATCCCTTTAAATAGTGGGGAAACAAAAACAAAAAACACTACAGCAAGAGACCAAGAAAGCTTCGGGCTAAAGGCTTTTCCATTCATTCTAAACTATAAATTTTTCACCTGAGGCCGGGCACAGTGGCTCACACCTATAATCCCAGCACTTTAGGAGGCCAAGACAGGTGGATCACCTGAGGTCATGAGTTTGACACCAGCCTGGCCAACATGGTGAAACTCTATCTCTACTAAAAATACAAATACAGGCCAGGCATGGTGGCAGACACCTGCATTCCAGCTACTCAGGAGGCTGCTGAGACAGGAGAATCACTTGAGCCCAGGAGGCGGAGGATGTGGTGAGCTGAGATCGTGCCATTGCACTCCTGCCTGGGTGACAAGTGAAATTCCATCTCAAAAAAAAAAAAAGAATATTTTTTTCCTTCTGTTTAATAAACCACATTTGAAGTGTACCATTGTACCACAGAATTTTAAAATACGCCATCATTCTGTGAAAATGGTTTGCTTTTTGCTGGTTGGCTTTTTGTACAGCTAGTGTTTTTTGTTTTTATTATGAACTTAGTACCCCTTTCCTAACAGAGCTCAAAGAAAGAGAGATTTGGAGTATACCATTAGAAGAGCTGTGGAAATGTCAGGAGCCTCTTACGCCTCTTACTCCTCATAAAATATGCAGTGTTGCTGTAAAAGAAAGAGCAGTATTGCTGTAGGGAATAATAGACTCCCTGTCGGTTTACCTATTGACTTCATTCTGAAAATCTGGGTCACAAAACTTTGAGCGCTTTCCTTTTAAATCACATATGTGGCACAGGGAGTCTTGTCTTTGGCCTTCTTGCCTCACGTACAGTGACTGCAATGAAACTAAATGCACATCAACCTGCTTCTCTATGCCAACCTAATCAGTGTCGACTGGTTTTGCTTTTTAAAAATGAGCAAGAAACTTTTTCTCCTAGTAACACCACTAAAATGCTGAGTTGACTTTTCATTTTTGCTTTGAAAATTTACTGTAGGCCCTAAAACAGCAATTAACTGTCAAGTTGAGGCTGGTGGCACCTATGCTGAGCAGACACTAGCTATTATATATTGCTCACCAGGCGCCGAGCTGGCCTTTTACATACATGACCATGGTTGGTGGTCATAACACAGTCCTTCCAAGTACACGGTCTTCCCTCATTGTACAGATAAGCAAACTGAGGTTCAGAAATGTTGCGTCATTTACCTAGTGTCACACAAGTAGTAGGTAGCAGAGTTGAACTCAGGTCTTTCTAAATCAAAAACCTACATTCTTTCTGCTGTTTTATGCTGCCTCTTAAATTATTTAACTCTATATTAAGAATGCTTTATAGGCCGGGCGTGGTGGCTCAAGCCTGTAATCCCAGCACTTTGGGAGGCCGAGGTGGGTGGATCACGAGGTCAGGATATCGAGACCATCCTGGTCAACATGGTGAAACCCCGTCTCTACTAAAATTATATAAAAAAAAATTAGCTGGGCATGGTGGCGTGTGCCTGTAATTCCAGCTACTCCGGAGGCTGAGGCAGGAGAATTGCCTGAACCAGGAGGCAGAGATTGCGGTGAGCCGAGATCGTGCCATTGCACTCCAGCCTGGGTAACAAGAGCGAAACTCTGTCTCAAAAAAAAAAGGAAAGCTTTATAGAATCAGTCATCTGCCCCAGCATTTCTTGCTTTTTCTTCTTTCCTTTTTTTTAAATGGGGAGTGGATACATAGTTGAAGGAAAAAGTGGAGCCCAACAGGACCCAGATCTTTTGATTCTGTTTTTTATAAAGTAGATTAGATTGGTTTTTCTTTCCTCATACTTCATCACAGCAATATGACGTCCAATTTGACCAAAATAACAACTAGGTAAGTAATTGTTTGATTAAAATCTCATATTTGGCATTGCCTGAGACAGAAATCCTACTAATTGATAATATTATGACAGAAATCCTAATAAGTGATTAAAAGATGACATTATTTGCATTTTAGTTTTGAGAAACTGTCAACTTTTAATTTGCCATGTGCATTTCACATGACCATGTTTTAAAGGCACATTTTCCAACAGTCAAGAGGAAGGGAGACATGTTTTAGGCAAAGAGTATCAGTACATTTTAAAGTTTATAAGGGAACAATTTATTAAATGACCCTAATCTTATATCAAACAGTATATACATTGGTAGATGAACCTCCTATTTTTTTTTAGTAATTTTTATAGCCAAAGAAAATGGTTCTTGGTAACTGAATGTAAATGTCAACTCAAAGCTAATATGGGGTTTTATTTTTAAGATCAGATTTTACAGCCCAGCTCCTTTCGTTTTAGTACAAACTCTAAATTTAGCTAATTTCAACGTAGTATAAAACTAATCAAATATGCTAGGCATTTTGCTTCTACAGAGTTTAGGGCATTCTGCCTAAATTGCTTGCCTCTAATTGTGGGGTCTTATTTCCCTTTCAGATATAGAGGACTTAAAATATGCTGCTTTTGGAAGCTACAGTAGCAATTTTGCAGTGAGCACACTTACAAGCTATGACTGGTCAGACAGGGATGATGCATCTCAGGGCAGAAAACTCTCTCCATTTGTCCTCTCAGCAGGAAGTGGATCCCCCTCAGCGACCTCAATTCTTCAAAAGAAAGAGACTTCATTTGGCAGTTCTGAAAACATCACCATGACATCTCTTTCCAAAGTAACGACCTTTGCAAGTGAAGATGCTCTTCCAGAGACAACCTTCCCAGCTTTTGCCAGTTTTAAAGACATGATTCCTCAGACCCCTGAGCAAAAGGAATATGAAAGCAGAGACTATAAAGATTTCACAAGACAGGACCTGCCTACAGCTGAACGAAGCCAAGAGGCCACGTGTCCCAGCCCAGCTTCCAGTGGTGCCTCTCAAGAAACCCCCAACGAATGTTCAGATGACTTTGGAGAGTTTCAAAGTGAAAAGCCCAAAATCAGCAAATTTGACTTCTTAGTAGCCACTTCACAAAGCAAAATGAAATCCAGTGAAGAAATGATCAAAAGTGAGCTGGCAACCTTTGACCTTTCTGTTCAAGGTGAGTAGCTTCCAAGGTAGATTTTACTTTTGCGGTTTTTTCCCACTGAGGTGTTAGATGTTCTTAAGACTAAAATGTTGCTCCCTGGTTTAGCAGGAAATAGATTTTCTAATCTTTGGAATCAGTGTCAATTACAGATATCTATAATAAAGATTTCCCTGAGACTGGAGTCAAAATCAGTGTCCCTCAGATAACTGCTTTATGGGCTAAAAACAAGCATAGCATGCAGGTATTGTTCATTAGCTTGTTTGGTTAGAGGTGTACTGTGTTAAAAGAGCCAGATAAATGGATTTGAGCCACTCGTAGGCACATTAGCTCTGCTCATGTTCTCTGGGCACAGGTAATGTCTTTTTTTTTTTTTTTTTTTTTTTTTTGAGAAGGAATATCATATCATTGCTCTCAGCTGGAGTGCAGTGGCACAATCTTGGCTGACTGCAACCCCTCCTGAGTAGTTGGGACTGCAGGCATGTGCCACCATGCCTGGCTAATTTTTGTATTTTTAGTAAAGATAGGTTTCACCATGTTGGCCAGGCTGGTCTCGAACTCCTGACCTCTTGATCTGCCTGCCTCAGCCTTCCAAAATGCTGGGATTACAGGTGTGAGCCACCATGCTGTGCTGACAATGTCTTTTAATCCAAAGGTTGCATTGTGGTGGCCATGGATCTGCATCCAGCCTGCATGTCACATTGACCCACACAGAAGGTTTTTAAGTGTGAAATAATTGCCAGTATTTAAAAGATACGAGATTTCCCAATCTGGACTTCTAACTTTTCTTGAGAAGTCATAATATCTGGCACTAGGAGGTCTGCACTCCCATGTGTTGACAAGCAGCTGGAGCTGAAGAGCACCACTCCCTATAGATGGGTCCTTCTCTCTCTTGCCATCATCCCCACCTCTTCCTAACTCAATGGACCTACTTCAGTTTTTTACTTTACTTGCCTGGTCTTTGAAGGCATTTAAGTTTGCCTCTTCTGCTTTAATCTTATCCTGACAGAAGGGGTTGCTATTTCAGCTGGATTCAGAGTCTGTGAAGGAGCTTAGTTGCAACTTCCTAACAAAGGACTGGAAAGCCACACAACTCTTAGATGCTCATATTTAGAAAGGTGCATTTGTGTTCCAGATGCCAGTGATTCTGCACTGAGCATTATGGAAGACTTGTGATAGATCAGAGAAGAGTCATGCTGAAAACAAGTCAGGGAAACCAAGCAAGAGAGAACTGGAAAAGATTCAGTGCGTAGCTCCCAAGAGAGAATGAATAAGAAATGTGTTTGTGGATGTCTCATGACATAAGCATCTGAACAAGAGGGTCGTGGGCAGGGCACAGTGGCTCACACCTGTAATCTCAGCACTTTGGGAGGCTGAGGTGGCAGATCACATGAGGTCAGGAGTTCGAGACCAGCCTGGCCAACACGGTGAAACCCTGTCTCTACTAAAAATAAAAATTAGCCAGGCATGGTGGTGTGCACCTGTAGTCCCAGCTACTCAGAAGGCTGAGTCAAGAAAATCGCTTGAATCTGGGAGGCAGAGGTTGCAGTGAGCTAAGATTGCACCTCTGCACTCCAGTCTGGGCCATAGTGCAAGACTCCGTCTCAAAAAAAAAAAAAAAAAAAAAAGAGGGTTGTGGTAACAAGGAAGAGACTCTGCTTGAACTAAGGTGAGTAGCCAAAACCTTTGACTGTATTATTCCTTTTTCCCAGGATCACACAAGAGGAGTTTGAGCCTTGGTGATAAAGAAATAAGCCGTTCTTCTCCTTCTCCAGCTTTGGAGCAGCCTTTCAGAGACCGTTCCAATACTCTCAATGAGAAGCCTGCGCTGCCTGTCATCCGAGACAAGTACAAAGACCTGACAGGAGAGGTGGAGGTGAGAGGAGAACTTTCTACAGGGGGTGGGTGACAGACCAGCAAGCACACAGGGCCCCAAGAAAGAATGCTGTCAGCTTTCACAAGGGGAAAATGAGGGGCAGAAAGACATGAACTATGTAATTAAAGTGAGAGAAGGGTAAGGTGTGGCATCCGCTGAAAGTAGTCGGTGACCCTAAAACCAAAATTATTCGTGGGACTTCATGAGGATGGCAGTGTTTGTAGAGTTCTTGAGCACTTAGACTTACCATCTTCATGAAATCTTAAAATAGAGGAGACAGGGAAAATACTCTGAATTTTTAATTTCTGTCTGCTGCATCTTAGTGCCACACTGCTCCTCCTGTGGCCAACACACTTCACTTCTTGTCTTTCCCTACTCCTTGTTACACCTGCATGTGTACCACGTCTTCACACACAGCATTATAACCGGGGACTGGAAAGCCAGTGGCTTAATAGCAGTTTCTGTACCAGACAGCTACATGCTGAGTGCCTTTGAAGAAAGGCTTACACTGTTACTGATGGAACAAATGAGGCAACACTCACAGAGGGAAGCTGCTGGAAAGCATGTATCTCTACCAAAAATACAAAAAGTAGCTGTATGTGGTGATGCATGCCTGTAGTCTCAGCTACTCTGGAGACTGAGGTGGGAGGATTGCCTGCATCCAGGAGGTTGAGGCTGCAGTGAGCAGAAATCACACCACTGCACTTCAGCCTGGGCAACAGAGCAAGACCCTGTCTAAAAAAAAAAAAAAAAAGATAAACTGCTTGAACTAGAGTGATTGAAAGTCTTCCAATCTCTTTGAATTGACAGTCATCAATAGAAGACTCCAGTTTTGTGTGTTTAACCCGGTTCTTTTTTATAAAATTCACAGGAAAATGAGAGATATGCATATGAATGGCAGAGGTGCCTGGGGAGTGCCCTGGATGTGAGTAGGTCACTTTTGCATTCACACATATGTAAATGCTCTCCTGTGCAATTTTGCCTTCTTGGTTCATTTGAATGGACAGAGGCAAACTTCAGGAGAGCCTTTCTTGGGTGTTCTTGGGCAAAGTGAAACTTTGGAAGTCATACATCTTAGGTGAGGCTTCCTTCACACGTAAAATAGCAGACTGGCTCATTTGTCAGTTGTCCCCTCATCTGTCATCATGTTTAAGAAATAACAAAGTGATATCATTAACTCTGCCTAAATCAAAATAATATTTAAAGAACCTGTCTTTTCTCTTCCAAAGAAATGGAGGATTGTTTCTTCAAGGATAAAATTAAATTCTCAGGTTTGTTTTAGCATAGTCGTATACACACATCAATCAGTCATGCTTTTTCACATCTCCTGGCTTTTTGGTTGGGTTTTCTACTAATAGTCAATTGATTTGCGATGACTTTTCTCAGTTGTGTAAGGTGATGTGATTTCATTTCTTGTAGGTCATTAAGAAGGCAAATGATACCTTAAATGGAATCAGTAGTAGTTCTGTTTGCACAGAAGTAATTCAGTCAGCACAAGGCATGGAATATTTATTAGGTATGTTCTTTTATATTTTACTATTAAAAATCATGGCACTTTGCATTATTTTCAGTTTCCCTTTAATTATTTTAAGCTGGATCTCTAAAGTTACATATGACTTCAGTAAGAAGTGGGTACGACTGCATTTGTGGGTACAACACTTAAGTCACAGGGAGTAAACTATTTAACGTAAAAAAGTCTCTATTGGCTAAGTTTCCTAGTCCTTGTTATATACATAATAGCAAAAATGTAAAATTATATCTGTATTAACTGGTTTATCAAAGAATCTGAACTACCGATGCACTAAAATCAAATCATTTTGTCTCCCATCAGTACCTTACCATACTCTGTATTCTTCCCCTATACCGCTTCATGACATCATGGATTGCTGAACTTCCTGGCCATCTGCAGCAGTTAGATATGTCAGTCCAACTTGAAATGGTAGCCTCTGCCCACTTCGATGATCCTCCCTTCCCCTAGCTCAGGCTTGGCCCATGGCCAAGGCCACACACACTGTACCCTAATCTTTTTCAAATCTTTACTCAATGTCAGTTTCTGCGTGAAATCTTCCCTAGCATCCATTTCTCCAAAGTATATCCTCTCTCCCCACCCCGGCACTTCCAATCCCATTCTCTGCTGGATTTTCTCCTTAGCCCTGTTACCTTTAATTTCTGACATATGTTACTTATTATTTTTTTCTTTCTTTTTTTTTGAGACAAAGTCTCACTCTGTTGGCCAGGTTGGAGTGCAGTGGTGCAATCTCGGCTCACTGCAACCTCCACCTCCTGGGTTTAGGTGATCTCGTGCCTCAGCCTCCCAAGTAGCTAGAATTATAGATGCCCACCACCATGCCCAGCTAATTTTTGTATTTTTAATAGAGACTGGATTTCACCATGTTGGCCAAACTAGTCTCAAACTCCTGACCTCAGGTGATCCACCCATCTCAGCCTCCCAAAGTGCTGGGATTACAGGCGTGAGCCATTGTGCCCAGCATTTTTTTATTTTGTTTTGTTTTTAAGACAGGGCCACACTCTGCCACCCAGGTTGGAGTACAGTGTTATGATCACAACTCGCTGCAGTGTCCGCCTCCCAGGGTCAAGTAGTCCTCCCACCTCAGCCTCCCAAGTAGCTGGGACTATAGGCGCACACCACCACACACCTAATTAATTTTTGTATTTTTTTTGTAGAGACCGGTTTTCGCCATGTTGCCTAGTCTGGTCTCGAACTCCTGAGCTCAAGTGACCCACTCACCTCGGCCTCCCAAAGTGCTGGGATCACAGGCGTGAGCCACTGTGCCTAGCTACTTGTTTTTACTCTCTGTCTCCCTTCATTAGAATGAACCTCCAAGAAGCCAAGGATTTTGGTCTGTTTTGTTCACTAGTGTGTCCCCAACACCTAACCTAGTGTCTGGCACACAGTTGGCACTCGAAACTGTTCACTGGATGAGTGGAGAGTGAAGGGATGTTGCCTCTGCCTTACTCCTGCCACCTCATTCGGGGTCATCTTTTCCTGTTCAAACAGGCACAGTTCTGCATAAGCAGATGCCCACCAGGAAATGTGGCACCTGTCTTTTCTTCTAGTGTCCTTGTATCTGTGGAAGATTCTCTTAGAAGCCCCCTCACTTGGCTTAGGGTGGGCAGTGATTTCTGCCTCTCCCTTGGGGAAAGAAGAAGAAAAGCAGTAGTGCTGTACACAGGGCTGCTGATAGGCCACTCTGAAGATCCCCTAGAATTCTTTCAGTGTTCACCTAGAGAGGCCAGGGTCATGTGTTTGGTGACTGTCACATTGCAGGTTAGTGGCTGTCCTTAGAAGGTAGAGGTACTTAGCACCTTTCATCCTTGCTTAAGGGGTTCAACCACTATTGAGAGACCACAGGAAAAGAACTGCTCTGTGTCCTGTTAATGTATAAAAGATAAGTGAAGTCAAAGTGTTTGTAAGATGTTGGGATTCAGAGAGGTGAGATGTTTCTTAATTACTTTGTGATGCTGTTAACATTTAGATTCTCTTACATTTTTACTATCCCCATTTTCAGCCAGTTTATTGGGATTTCCCAGATTCAAACAGATGGACTCATAAATAAACCTCCCAAAAAACAAAAGCTTATAACTTGCATATTGCCTGTCATTCTTCAAGCACTGTTCTAAGCCTTTTACCATATTAACCTGTTTAATCCTCTCAACCATCCTTTGAGGAGGTACTGTTATCATCCCAACTTCACAGATGAGGAAACTGAAGTACAGAGAGGTTACATGACTTGCCTAAGGTTATGTAGCTAGTAAGAGGCATAGCCGGGGTTTGAACCCAGACAGTGCAGCTTTAGAGTCTGTGCTCTTACCAGCGAGCTATACAGCAGCATTGAGAGGTGGATTGGTCCCAAAGAATAGTAAGTACACCACTGTCCATATAATACCCCTTGTTTCTAACAAACACCAGCAAGCAGTAATGCCTCCCTGTCTGGTTCCTCTCTGTCTCCACTGCCAACACTCTCTGCTCTCTCATTCCCCCCAGGTGTTGTTGAAGTGTACAGGGTAACCAAGCGTGTGGAGCTGGGGATAAAAGCCACTGCAGTATGCAGTGAGAAACTGCAGCAGTTGCTGAAGGACATCGATAAAGTATGGAACAACCTAATCGGCTTCATGTCACTCGCCACACTCACAGTAAGCCTATGAGACAACTCAGCAGTTGCTTTCCTTTCCAGAAACCTAAGTTGTAAAGCAGAGTGTATATTCCTTTGATGGTACTGACTGGAGGCTGAAGGTGCCAACTGGAGCACGTTATATTTGAGGAGGAGGGAGATCACAGGTGTGTGGTCAGTTGAACAGGACCAGGTGGGCTTCTGATCTCTCCAAGATCCAACCTCAGGAAAAAAAGAGAATAGGAAAACATTCACTCAAAGATGCAATTAAAAAAAAACATTCACTCTATACCTTTCTTAATTCACATAATAAATGCAAGATTTGCAAAGCATTGGTTTGAGATGACTCCCTTTGCACTTCTAGTTATTTATGTCCCCATGTTTCCTTTCAGAAAGCTACGTGATACCTCATGTTGCCGTTCTGTAGTTAGTTTAGCCCTTTTTACTTTTTTAGGTTATTTGGTTGTCTTAATTTTTCCCTGTTATGAGAAGTTCTATTCTAAATAGACAAATAATTTTGTGGGGATGTAGTTCCTCCAAGTGGACTAGGAGGTCAGTGTGTGTGTCTGCACACATGCGTTCATGCATATGTAGCTGTTGTTACATTTATTAGAAGGCTTTCCAAATAGCTTGTACTGGTCACAGTGCTGCCAGAAATATATAAGTACATGGATACATTTCTCTACATTATATCCTATCAGTTTCTTAATTTAACAAGCATGCAGTTATTCTGTAAGGTGTTTTTTACATTTTTAAAAAAATCTTGAGAGGCTTGACAGTGTTCCAAATGACAATTTACTGTTTCTTTTTCCTTTGTGTATAAACAGATTGGACTCTTTTGACCATTTGAGCATTTATTCCTTGGAATATGATGATTGACCTTATATATTTCATATTTGTAATAGATTTATATGCATATATATAAGCTTGTAAACTTTTATCATCTTTTTTCCTCCTCTGTTACCATACCTTTTTTACATTTCATTGGGCAAAACTCTTTTATTTTTATATATTCATACCTATTCAATTTGTCTCTGATGATATCCTTTATTTCACAATAGTCAAAAGTTTATCTTCCTTCCACAGCTGGAATAAATATGCTATTCCATTTTTTTTTTTTTTAAACATGGAACTCTGTTACCCATCTGAATGGGATTGCAGCTATGTGGGAGGAAGCAGTTTTAATTTTCTGAACTGATAGCCAGGTGGATACCAGCTACCCCAGCAACATGTCTTCCGCGGTACATCCTCACCATTGTTGTATTGCTTCTGGTTTGTAATATTAAAGCCTTTAAGAGTTTCCATAATTTCCGAAACTTTCTTGTTCCCTTGAATCATTTCTCATTTTCTAACCTAAAATCATATGTAGATAATTATTTTTTAAAAAAATACTATTCTGGCAAATGAAGTAAGAAATGAGGTATGAATATTTGAAGAAAGAGATAAAATTATGTTTACTTGGTGATAATGAAATTCTTTTAAAAATTTAAATTCAACCAGCCGGGTGTGGTGGCTCACACCTGTCATCCCAGCACTCTGGGGAGGCTGAGGCAGGCGGATCACTTCAGCCCAGGAGTTTGAGACCAGCCCGGGCAATGTGGCGAAACCCTGTCTCTACCAAAATTACAAAAATTAACCAGTCTCAGAACCTGGACTCTAAATAAATAAATAAGTAGATTAAAAAATTTTTTTTAATCTAAATTCAATATAAATTTAAATGTATCTCATTTGTCATAAATTCATAGCAATCCTACATATTAATAGTAGTTAGAAATTATGATGAAATTGGGCTGGGCATGGTGGCTCATGCCTGTATTTCAGCACTGTGGGAGGCCAAAGAGGGCAGATCAATTAAGGGCAGGAGTTTGAGACCAGCCTGGCCAACATGGTGAAACTCCATCTCTACTAAAAATACAAAAAAAAAATTAGCTGGCCATGGTAGCAGGTGCCTGTAATCCAGCTACTCAGGAGGCTGAGGCAGGAGAATTGCTTGAACCTGGAACCCAGGAAACAGAGGTTGCAGTGAGCCAAGATCATGCCACTGCACTTCAGTCTTAGTGACAAGACCGGAGTGTGGCAAGACTCTGTCTCAAAAGAAAAGAAAACATAATGAAATTAGAAACCTTGTGTTTTTTGTTATAAAATATAATGAAGTTAGAAATTTTAAAAAAAATTATTAACTAATTCAAGCCCTCATCACATTTGAACTTCTGACCTCGTAGGTAGGGTGACTAGATCCATTTTTTTTTTTTTTTATCCCTTACAAATCTATTCTGCACACCTCAACCAGACTGTTCTTCTAAAATACAAATTTGATCACGTCATTTAAATCCCATTTAAAATCCTACAGTGGACTCTCCATGGTCTTTAGGATCAACTTCAAACTTTTAAGCTCGGTATAGATCTCTTCTATCCCTCAGATCACCATGGCCTCTCTTTCTGTTAAGCTGCTTTTCCCTCTGCAATCTGCGTCATTTTCCCCAGAAGCCATTCCAAGAGTCCTTTGGTCCAAATTAGATGCCTTGCGTGGGTGTGTCCATAGCACATTTCTCTCTCATTTCTCATAGCATGTACCATGCTTGTTGATAATGGTGTGTTTACTCGTCGCTTGCCCACTAGCTTGGCAGCTCCTTAAAAGTAGGGCTGTGTCCTTTAGTTTTTCATTAGTGCTCTAATGCAGTGTTTGGTGAGACTTTCTACTTTTTGTTTTATAGTTTTTTTAACCTTCCAATTTATTAACCAGACACCATACATTTTTGTACTTCATCATTTTAATAACTGGTTTAAATTTTTTAAATAAATGGATAAGGGAAATGAAAGGGAAAATGAAAGGGAAGCTATAATAAGCCAGGAATGAAGTTTAGTGCATTAAAATGTGTGCTTTTAAAGTGCTTGCATTTGTTAATGGCAGGCTGTATCATTGATTTACACTTTCTAGGAATTGATGTAAAGACAATATAATCAGTTCCATGACTCAGTGTGTTTATAGCATAAAACAAACTCAGCACTCAGGAGAAGCATAGTTATTCTTGCTACTAATATCATTTATTTTATTTGAAATAGAGCCTCATTCTGTTGCCCAGGCTGGAGTGCAGTGGTGCAATCTCAGCTCACTGCAACCTCTACCTCCCGAGTTGAAGCGATTCTCATGCCTCACCCTACTGAGTTACTGGGATTGCAGGCATGTGCCACCATATCCAGCTAACTTTTGTATTTTTAGTAGAGACAGAGTCTCGCCATATTGACCAGGCTGGTGTTGAACGCCTGGATTCAAGTGATCCACCCTCCTTGGCCTACCAAAACGTTGGGATTACAGGCATGAGCCACTGAGCCTGGCCTTGATACTAATATCAGAAAGAAATTTCTTCTGTGGGTTCTTATAAAGAGGAAACTAATATAATCAACACTGTCTTCAGAAAAAAATCCTTTCAGTAAATAAAGCAACAGGTTTCCTTGAGTAGTTTCTTATTACATCTCTCAATATAGGCCAAATGACATAACTTTAAAGTATGAGTAAAAGTCATTTTAAGTGTGGAAAAAATAGATTAAATTGTAAACTAGGAGATGTAGTAGTGCATCCTGATGGCAGGCTCATGTCTTTGCTCTGTAAAGGAAGTATACAAATCAATGAGAAATATACCAACATTCAGTAACGTATGAGCAAAAACGTGAAGTGATTCATAAAAGGGAAGGTACAATTAGTAAACATAAGTTCAAATCAAAACAAGGTGTCATTTTTTACCTACTAATATTTTTTAAGACATCTCACTCTGCTGCCCAGCCTGGAGTGCAATAGCGTGATCTTGGCTCACTGCAACCTCTGCCTCCCAGGTTCAAGTGATTCTTATGCCTCAGCCTCCCAAGTAGCTGGTACTATAGGCGTGCACCACCACGGACCCAGCTAGTTTTTGTATTTTTAGTAGAGATGGGGTTTCACCCTGTTAGCCAGGTTGGTCTCAAACTCCTGGCCTCAAGCGATCTACCCACCTCTGCCTCCCAAAGTGCTAGAATTACAGGTGTGAGCCACCATGCCCAGCCTGCCTACTTATTAAGCCCAATTTTTGTGTGGTCTGTTTATTTGAATACTAATAGTGTTGATGTGGTAAAATATGAACTATACCATAGGGTGGAATCACCTATGGAAAGAGAAGTTTGGCACCAGGCTTTCCTCCTGACTGTAAACTTGAAGACAGAGATCAAGACTGCACTTGTTCATCTTTTCTTCTTTATCTGAGCACAGTGCCGGGAACTTTGTACACATTCAGTAAACAGTAAAAGTTGAATAAATTAAAGGACTTAATATGCACTCAGAGTAGTTGACTCAATTCCACTTCTGAGAAAATGTCCTAAGGCAGCGATTCTAAATATGAATTCACAGAAAGAAGCAAGCTAAGTGCACAAAGTTGTTCTTTGTAAAAGTGAAAAATCAGAAACAACCTGAAAGTCCAAACCTAGAGGATTGGTTAAGTAAATTATGATGAATCTTCACCCCAGAATCTTATGCAACCATTTTGTAAAGGAGCACCAAGTTTGAATGACAGAACTATTACTACAGGGCTTGAAGGACATCTGCCAAATGATACTAAGGATATGTTTGGGTGATGAAACTCTGGATTTTTTTTTAGACAGGGTCTCCCTCCGCCACCCAGACTGGAGTACAGTGGTGTGATCACAGCTCACTACAGCCTTGACCTCCTGGGCTCAAGCAGTTCTCCCACCTCAGCCTCCTAAGTAGCCAGGATCACTGGTGCATGCCACCAAGCCCAGCTAATGTTTTTGTATGTTTTGAAAAGACAGGGTTTTGTGCTGTGTTGCTCGGGCTGGTCTCAGACTCCTTAGGCTCAAGGAATCCATTCACCTTGGCCTCCCAAAGTGCTGGGATTACAGGCATGAGCCACTGTGCCCAGCCACAACACTGGATTTTTAAATATTCTTTTGTTTTTTTCAACTTTCTTTAGATAGCATTTGTTGCATTTATAATGGAAAAATAAGTGTTTTTACTCTGGTAGGAGAAATGTATTG